AAGATGCACACAGGAATTTGCTAAATTCACAGGATGAGTGCTTCTGCTAACTTCTGGGGGGAGGAGGGGGAGGGAATAAAATTTTATGCTTATGGAACTTCATCAAGGCCTTCAGTAGAAAAACAGATTCCAAAGCTGCATTAATAGATTATTTCCAGTCTCACCTAAAATAAGCGTTATGCCATCTTGCAGTAGTCAGAGGGTGTTTTTCAGAGGGTTTCCATTCCTGTTTGGGTTGGTTGTTTTTCGTGCTGTGCAGAGGGGAACTTTTAGAAGATCACAGTTCACACTGATGTTCCACCAAGCCTCAGGGCAGCACTTTCCACCCTGCAGCCAGTGCATCCCCTGAGCTCTGTGGACTTCAGCAGCTTCGAGGCAGGGTATTTGTGGCATTACACAGTGCTGCGCAGTGTCTGGATTATCTGGACAGCAGTGATCTGTTTCTTTATTTTTAACTTTCCCATCCTCCCAAAGATGATCAGACCATTGACCTATGTGATACAACTCACAGCCATCAATGGGGGCTAAGGGAATTGAATAAAGTATCAGAAGCCTTGGAGCAGATAGTCAGGAACAACTCGCAGGTGAAATTCCTTCTAGTTACCTCTTGTAGCGTATTTTGCTTACAGTGTAGGTTACAGGCTTTGTCTTTCTTGCATAGGAAGTTGTGCTTTGTTTTTTTTTGTCATCTGTTTTTGTAATCCTGAGCATCTATTATACTTGAAATGTGAGTCTCGTTTTCTCCTCCTGTGGTCAATGTAAAGCATGCATGCACACCTACATACATCCAGAGGATGCGTTCATTTCGGTATGGCCTGCGAACATCTGCAGCCACTGTTACTACAGCTCTAGAGCTTCTGTTGGAGTTCTCCAACATAGGCTGTGTAACAACTGAATGTGGTGGACTTTGAAGTTTAAATGACATAATAAAGCCTGCAGATTTTTAGATTCTGCTAGATACTAAACCACGAACAGGAAACCAACATTTGTGTTCGCTTGCCCCAGTCCAGCTGTGAATCTTTGGCAAGGAGCTGTTGAGCCTTTATTTCAGAACATATAATAGAAAAGTTGCTTTGGGTGGCGGACAGCAGAACATCTGCCTTGCTTCTTCCAATGGCACTTCTTGCCGTAGCAGGCCATCAATTTGCAGAGCATTAGGGCTCACCTCATGGCCGATGTGTTCTTGTCTCGTCAGCAAGGTCCTGATGGGGTAGATGATGGAAGCGGAGCTTTAAATGGTCTCCCAGCTGCTTTTGCCATGGTGAGGTTACCTGTTGCTGTCAGTTGTCCCCTCTCATGTACTTAATGCTGGTGACTGAAGGGAATGTAATCCTCTGTTGCCATCAGGAGACTGAACTGCCCTGGGGCGTGCCCAGCCTGCCAGGCCCTCCTCATGCACATGCTTTTCCTTCCTTTCTTCTTGAGTACCTTAAAAGACTTTGTCTCATTCCCTCTGAATCTTACTGATCTTGCCATGGTTCTAGCAAGGTAAGGAGGGGCAGAGTGTTACAACTGAAGTGGTTCCAGGTGTCTGCTGGTGTTTTTAGTTACTGTCTGCATGCCCTGCAGAGAGCAGAACTGGGCTACCTGGGTGAAATCTTCCCTCTGTTGAGAGCTCTCCTGGGGGCTCTGAGGCCAGGATTTTCTCTGTTGAAATGATTCTGTTTTCTGAAGGCTCTCCACAGTTGGCAGCATCGTTGGAATCCAGTTTGCAGGAACCGGTATGGCTGTAGATGGGGGGACAGGAGGGCTTCCCTGTGTCCCGGACAGGTTGGTGGGAAGCTTGGGGCATGAGCAGCAGGTTGTGGCTTACAGGCTGTTGGCAGCATCAGTAAGGAACGCTCTCATGGGTCCAGCTATGAAAACAGGATTAGCTCATTATTGTTTGCTGAAAGCCCAAACTCCTTAGAGGTTTTCTTTAAGTATTTTCTTAGAGTGAATGATATGTTACCAGCCCTGGGGGCAGGAGAACAGGATCCCTCATCCTTTGCAGGCAAATGTCTGCGCTCCTTACAGGACCTGGCTCGTGCATGTGCCCTCTCTCTCCCTTTCCTGCCATTCCATAATTAATTCAGCTTTCCAGGCAAAACGGAGCTGGAAAGTCCTTCCTCCACAAACAAGACAACACCTACACCAGCGGTCATGGGGCTTCCCTCGTGTGTGGGGTTTGTGAGACGGATCCTGCACAAGGAGGAGGAAGTGGAGGCGTTATCTGCCTGGGTGTGTGTGCTCAGCTGTTGGGTGGGTGGGGAGAGGTGCTGCAGCAATAAAGGATTGCTCAGGCTGTACGAGAGAGGGCTTGAACAGCTATCTGCACGGTACTACTTACAACTGCAAATCCTGAATGGAAGGGAGCAACTAGGAGCAGTCCCCTAGCCTTAGCATTGCCTGCCTGGGGAACCTTTCTGGCTGGTTCCCCATTTGATGTGCCTGAAATTTAAATCCTTGTTCCCAGGTGCCCAGCTCCTCGCCCCCCTGGGTCAGGGAGCCTTTGGTGTTAATTTAGCTGTGGGAAAAGATCCCACAGAGCTTTCTTCGATTGGTTGTGTTTTTTGAGTGGCGTTGCTTTTCTGGCACCTGGTCTGTTTGCACTTGGTTACTGCAGATGGTCTCTTGACTCTTGTAACTTTATCCTTTAATTAGCACTGCGGAGCTAAAGTGCTTCAGGTTGAGACCAACAGGCTTTGAGTCTGCCTGTTGTTAGGGTCCCTCCTGGCTGGAGATGTTACTGTGTGGCATCTAGGTAAGTTTAGAGCTTTTTCTAAGCTCCACTTGAACAAAGGCAGGCTTTATTGAGTGTCTGCCAGGCTACTTTACCAGCGGAGGGCTGTTTCACATCGTCTTTGAATATCTAATTGGATTATATCTGCTGGTTGGGTTCTGGCAAAGAATTCTAACACGCGCTATCCTCGAAGTACCTGCAGAAAAACTGGTCTGATGTGTTTGGCATAATCAGGAGGGTTTAGCTGTGTTTTCTAATAAGTTTCCTTATTCTTTTTATGGTAATAAAATGCCCCTGCCTGCAAGCCCAGGACCCTTCTCGGGGGGGGGCACAGAGCAGGGTCTGTCTCCTTGCCCTCCTCCCCCTTGGTTCAGCCGTTGCTGGCAGTAGCACAGAACACGTTACCTGACATTTTCATTGGAGCATGACGCTCTCTGGATTTCATTTCCTTATGTTTTCTTGGGAAAATACCTTCCATTCCTGCTTTGTTTACTGCAGTTTGCTGTTCCTGATTCAGCCCATGATTATCTCTCCTCCTGGCGCTTAATGGATCAGCTCCTTTAGAGGATGAAACTAAACAGTTGTGGAGGACCCAGTGAGATTCAGGGTTTTTCTCTTTTCGCTAGAGCTGATTTACAGTCATGCTGATAAGTTCCATGTTTCCCTCTGTCATCCAATAAGGAAGTGTCCTTGTTGCCTATTCATGCATATAGATGTGTTTTATTGTTAAGATCAGTGGTGCCCAGAAGTTACGGAGGCATTGCCTTCAAAGCTTCCGTGAATGCGTTATGATGTGCTGTCTTGGCACTGAAAGTAATAAAAATCCTGACCAGGTGTCAGGAACGCTCTTGAATTTGGCTGAGCGCTCTAATGGGCAAATGGAGTGTGTGATTGGGAAGCAGCAGGCATTGCCTTTGTTTTTGCTGGCGACTTTCTGTATGACCTCTGGTTACTCTTTTCCCCCTCGGTGGAAAGAGGATGCTGAGCTATCATTCCCTGCATAAAGTGCCTTGTGATACGTAGTATATTTTTCCCCTATTTAATCAAAAGCAGTCAAAGATCATGTAGGACTCCTGTGGAGCCTAATGGTAATAGGCCTGGACCAGGCCAGCATCTTTCACAGAATCAAGAACCTAGGAAGTTTGGCCTATCTTTAAAACCTAAAGCTAAGTAAACATTCAATAAGAAATGTGTGCCCTGTGTGCTAAGGGTATACATTAAGTGCTGGCTTATACCGCTTCCAAATTGTTTAGCAGCATAATATATAGGCTATCTAGTCCTTGTTTTCTGCTGGGACAGATTCATGAGCAAACAAAAAGCTGATATGTTATGGAAACAGAAGAACAATGCATCATCCTTTTGCCCCACTTATATAGTCCCTCCTCTGTTAATTCCTCTGTAATCCTTTCCTTAAACACAATTGATTGTTTCTAATTTGCAACAGGTTAGGTTCCAATTAAACACTCCATGATCCTACATGTTTCAGAAGGCTTTGTATTTAATGCAACCTTGCTAATTTAATAAAAGGTATGGCTAATTATGCATGCCTTTCAGATTACAGCTGCCAAATTTGGCTAATTTATATCTATTACTGTCTTTCCTGTGTGTAATGCTCCTCTGTGTACAGTTGTATTAGTGAGGGGAGGAAAAATGTGTAATCCAGTGGATTCTGATTCCTAGCAAGGGATTTGGATTATAATATTCTTCAATGGCCCTAAGAAAGCACAAGCTCACATAACATGTCTTCCTGTTAGGTACATAATTGAATGAATGTCAGGAGCCAAATGCAGACCAGAGTGTTTTTAAATAAAGCCATGGCACTCAGCCTCATTCAGGACTGTTTCTGAGGCACTTTGATCTGGTGTGGTGAAGCTGGCAGCCCAAGACACTGCCCATGCCAGCTTTGTTTCTGTACGTCCAGGTAGCACGCTCCCGGCTGCTCAGCAGGGAGAGTTGCTCATTCTCCTCCTCTCTATCTACGCATGCTCAAGCTTGAGCCTTGCCCTCTGTCCCGCTCTGGGACCACTTCCAGAACTGTTGATAACTTACTTATGGTAACTTTATGCAAATAATTGCATAAACTGTGCTCTGACCTGTCAGGTACTGGCTCCTGAAAAGTCCTGTGTCTTTTCTCACCCAGCCAGTGCACCAAACTATTTCCTGTTCAGAAACCAGAGGGAATGAGGTGCACCTTGGTTTAAGTGATGGCTTAGCTTTGGTTTAGAAATAATTGCATTTCAAGCTACTTTAACATCATGGTTTTTTGTTGTTGTTTTAGGTGCAAGGCCTGACAATGGCACTGAATGAGTGCTGCCTTCAAGCCTCCTTCCTGTAAATGATTGGACCAAACAAGACGGTGTGATGAACATGCCACTGCATCAAATCTCTGTCATTCCAGCTCAGGATGTTACCTCTTCCAGAGTCTCCAGGAGCAAGACCAAAGAAAAAGAAGAACAGGTAATGTCAGATAACTTCCTGTGAAAGTTGTATACATCTGAACATAAAATGCTAGGAGTTATGAAACAGTTATGATCAGAATCAGACTCAGTTCTGATTCAAAGATCCAACTCCTTACATGGTTACTGCTCTTAGTGAAAATGAATGTTACCTAATTATCTCTTCATTCTAATATTTGCCATTTCAAAGCAGCTGGCTGCAAAAAAATAGAACTCATTGCTGAATAACTTCAGCAAAACAGAAACTGACTTGTGATTTTGCATAACAGTTCAAGGCACACAGGAATTCTGTATAACAGGTCTAGTAACACTGTCATGAAAGCTATACCTGATGTGTTTTACCTTTTGAAGAGAAAAATATTATGAACTCCTACATGCAGCCATACATTCTGTTTTTTTGCAGCATCTAGTAGCCATGTCATGGTTCATATTGACTAGAGTATTGTAAGAAAGGAAATATACACCTCTGTGTATATTTGCTGTGCTGTTTCCTGAAGATAGGATTTGTATTCTTAACTTGGGAGTGAAACTTGAGTGAAATCATTTTGAGGTCTTGTGCTGCTAGAGAGAAATTGAATGGAAAAATATCTGAAGCCTACCAGAATTTAATTAATAGGCTACTTAAAAAAATAGTGATGGCATATTGTGTCTGATCTTTCTGTGTCAACCTTACTTAACCCCTGGGCTGTGTCTTTGGTCAAGCCCAAAGATCTTGGTGTGCATCACGCTTTAGTTTACACTGAAGATACATTGAACTTTGTATTGTCTGTCAGTTCCATATAAACTTTTTGTTTTTATAGCTCTATTCTAGCATTAAAAACAGGCCAAGAGAATATTCATGTTATGGAAGAACTGCAGGGACTAGACTTGTTCTCTGGTGTAGGAACACATTTCAGCAGTGGTCAGGTTCTGAGGAGACCTAGACCAACACTGGTACAGATTTGGCATAGCTGAAGTATAAGGGACTGGAAAGTCATGTTACAGAAAGGGATTAGTTAAGACTAACTTCAGATAAAATTTTTAAAAAGGTTGCTTTCTGATGTGTTAAGGTCATTACCATTTTCACCTGTCAGGTGTCCAGATTTCACCTACCAAAGACTGTGGTGGGTCAGTAAAAAAAAAAAAAAAATTACTGCATGGTTGTTTTTTGGAGTTGTCATTTAAGTAACAAAATAGATTCTAGCCCTTCAGATTCTTAGATGAGTGAGTAATTACCTGGACTTCTGAATCCAGGTAGGCTGGTGCAACACTGCTTCTGAAGAAGTTGTCTTCACAGCTGAGGTGCTTTAAGTCAGTGAGGCATCTTTTCTTAGGTGTCTGCTGGATCTCTCACTCTCCAATTAGAGCGCTAATGGCAGTCTGTGACTGTGTTGGGAAGCTCTCTGGGTAAGAGGGGTTTTTTTGTTCATTTTGGTTCCCTCCCATATGGAAACTCTGTGTGCTGAGAGAGTATGAGAACAGTCACTCTACAAATACACAGCAGTTCTGTGAACTGGCTTCCCTCCAGTAGGGTCATGCGAACTGAGAGGCCAGTTGGATGAGAACAACTCATGGTGACTATTTCAACATGCCCCAAGCCCAGAAGTGAGAGTCCCAAGTCTCTTCCTAAACCCGTTTGTTTCTGACACAGCAACCTCAGTGTTAACAAACCTTCCATATGTTTTCTTGGAGGTAACTCATTGAAGGGTTGATTGTTGTTTTCCTCACCAGGCCACCATTGTACTTTCATCTGTGACATCTAAAACAGGACAGAGTATTACAGTCAGGACTGGAAAAAGCTGCTGCTTTAAATATGTAAAATATTGTGGAGAAAATAATAGAGGTTGAGACTATACAAAGAATAAATGAGACTAACCTGGAAGCACTTCTTGTTTCCCAAATCTTGCCCTTCCTGTCTCCATCAGTATATTCATTCATTCCCAAGTGTCCATTCTTCTGCCAGACCTGCTGCAGGAGCTCAGGGTGAGCAGCCCACCACCCTCAGCACACAACAGGCACTGCGGGCAACGTGCTGTCCCCTCTTCGTTCTTCCCCTCTCCTGGAAACTGCCTTATTTCTGGTGTTAACCTTTAACATTGGATCTAATAAATGAGCTGGAGAGCAGGCAGGTTGTTAATGTGTTGACTTTGACCAATCCAGTTAAATTTTCATACTGCATTGGTGAGCGCATCCAAGGCCACTTGCTAATCAGAGTCGATGTCAACTCTTGGATGCTATCAGGACCTGCTGGCCATGACTGTGAGTTTTGCTTATATTTAAGGTAAAGGGGAGATAGGGTACAAGAAAATGAAACTGTAGATCATTGCTGACATTTTTAAGCACTTCACAATGCATGCATTTGAGGTAGAAACCACTGCAAGATGCAGAGCATGATTCTGTATTGAGAAAACTGTACTGAGCAGTAGTAGATGATTTTTGTGTCCTGGATAACATCTGCAGTTGATGCAAGAGAAAAGACACTAGGCAAAACTGAGAAAGAAGACATTTTCGCTTCAGTTTTGTAAGTTTATTGTAAATTCAGTGTAACATCGATACTCTCCAATTTCAACAGTGCAACTTTTCATTATGTAACACAGCTTACAATTATTTCTCCATGTTGTGGTTGACATAGACACAGTTTTCACATGGATATCTATGAAAATATATCATATTTTGGGGGGGGAGTGAGTAAAACATTTAACAGTTTGTTTTCCAGTACCATAACTTTCTTAATGTTACCTTTTTATGTAATAGAAATACCTCTCTATGTAGGAATAGCAGTGAGCACCTCAAACCATTGTGTACACATTGTGTACACTGTGGTCTTAAGAAGTTGTGAGTTCTACAAAGCCACTTGCCAATCAAGGCAAAATCAAACAAACCTCAAATCACAATCAAAACCAACATTACTTTTTTGCAGATAATATGGAGGTTTGCTTTATTATACCAAGTTCTTTTTTTTTTTTTTTTTTTGACCAAGTGCATTTCCAGGTAATGTGTTTTGTAGTCTGAGCAGACTCTGTACATATGTGCCTTGTCTATTACCAAGCTCTGATTAAAACCAAAGTGTATAAAGGTATAATGTCAGCTAGCAGATCAAAAGTTTTTCTTGCTTTTATTCTTGTTTTGGTTTACTTTTCCTTTGGGAACTTGATATTTCAAACCAGACCATTAGCTTGTCTGTACCTGCATTGTAGTGAGCCTGTCAGAAAAAAAGGCTGAAGAAGTACAACAGCAGAAAATGAAACACGTATGTGTCTAGAGAGGGAACTTTGCTGGTATTTGAAAAGTCTGTGTTTGACTTATTCCCCAGAAGGAAGATGCTTTATATCCTATTCTTCTATGTTTTGTGAATATAGATGTGTTTAATTTTCCATATTACATTTGTAATAGAAGTGCAGAGAAAATTTTCTCCAGCTGAATAGTTCAGATCTTTTAGTGTTTCTTCTTTCTCTCTTGCTTCTGGTCAAGATATAGCTTTGATATTTCAGGTTAAGGCTTGACTGGTTTTAGTAATAGTTTTCCTTGCTACAAGAACAAGTTTTCTGGACTAATGATTTGGGACTAACAGTGAAGAAAAGCAAGAAATCCTCACCACCATTATTGCACAACAGTTTTTAAAATGGATAATCTGTAGTCCCTGGGCATGTCTACCACCTGCCTACCATTTCTGCATTACGACCTTAGAAGTCAGGGATACTTAATAATAGAGGAGCCTGGTAGAATCTTATTCCAATTAGTGTAGTTTTCAAGGTTTAGAATAGTTGAAAACTGGTTAACAACAATCTTGGATGAAACTTTGTCCATTTTCATAGTAAAAATGGAGAAGGTCATAAAGGGATTATTATTCTTGCATTTAACTCAGATGAACTGTTAGCTTTAAGAGCTAATAATAACAACCATTAGCTTCTTACTTATCCTTCACTGGGAATAGCTTCATACCTGCCTGATTTAAGGGAGAGTTGCTCTACTGTTTGTGAGGTGCAACACACCCTGCCCATTTGGTGAGCATTGTGCTGGCAGCGATGTTGCCTAGCCCAAAGCCAACAGCCCTCAGCATTTGGAATGAATATGGGGCACTGATGCTGGCATGTGATTAAAGTGTTGCTCTTGTATTGTCTTGTGATGGAGCATTGCCTGTTGGAGAGTTTTGTACAACACGAGTTGTTGGTAAAAGTTATTGTGGTGAATGAAGCTCCTTGAGGAATAGCTCTTTACACGTCTCTTCTAAAAATCTGAGTAACTTCACAGCACTGACCTTGTGTGCTGTGATCTCCACGGATCTCATAAGCAGATTGGAGTGGAGTGGACTGGGTCGGTGTCTGAATGGGAGATGCTGGTGCAAATCACTTTGGGTGCAGAATGGCCTGGACTTGTGAAGAAATACTGAATTGCTGTCAAAGGTCATGTAGCAAAGACAGACCACAAAAGCAGATAAATATGCTACTCCCTTCTGTCCTCTGTTCTTAGAGGAGCTACCTTCTTGTCTTTGAGTGCTGTGAAATAATTACTGGCTGCTATGTGCTCAGCAGAGATTTTCTGACAATCTCAAATATCTCCAGGTGCTTCTCAAAGCTGCTGTCTTGCAGGTACTATGACTACCCAATTTGTCTGGCTGAAATTATGATGAAAGAAGTGCATTGTGCTGTGTCTTGCTAAATTTATTCTGTCTTCTTAACGATCTCTTGCATTCTGTAACAGGAAAAGCACTATAGCCTGATAACTCACATAAGCCATGTCTTACTGGAAAAGAAGGACTTTTTTTTTTTAAAAAAAAAAAAAAAAAAAAAGGCAATAGATGCATTTGCAAGAATTTTTAGTTGTAGATCAGTAGTGTAATAAAAGGTGAATGCTTTGTGTTGTTGAGTCCAGCGTGATGCTTTGTGAGCTCTTACATTGTTCTCAAGGTACAGAGGCACTCTTTGGACTTTGTGTATGTGGGCTCTGATTGCCTGAACTTGATTCAAATACTTCTGCATTTGTAAGGCAGTGTGTGCTTAGTTTTGCTTCTCCATTGAATTA